CAAAGAACTTCATTATGCTGTGGGGCCAATAAATCTTTCGAATTGGCTACCTTTTGACTGTAGGCCAAAGCCAACAATGAATCATAATGCGCAAACATGGCCAACACCTTCAGCAGCAATGGGGTTGGGTTGCCTGCTGGGAGGGCTGGGACGAGCGGCACTCATACGCCCTGTGGCACATGCAAGCTCGATGGCAACTTGCGGCCAGCTCTCAATGTTACGGCGTGTCGACAGAGCAAGCAATAAAGCGTAGCATAAATTAGCCAAATAAGCAGGCGGCTAACAAAGTGAAACAAAAGCAAAACACAAAACTTTAATGTTTGGCTAGGCAAACACAAAGTCAGGGCTAGGCACATACAAACGCAATAATAAACCTATATACATAAATATAAATATGTATATGTATATATATGTATATATATATACATATATATATTGTATGCACAGCCTGCGGGCAGGACGTAACCGAGTTTTTTGGGCATCCAACTTGCGTAATAAGGCTCTTGTATTGTTATTATTATTATTGTTGTGCTTATGCTGGCGAGCTGTAGTTGCTTATTATAAAAAATGATACACACACAGAGTGAGAGAGCAAGAGAGAGAGCAAGTGTGTGTGTGGGAGGGAATGAGAGAGAGAGAGAGAGAGAGAGAGTAAGCGCAAGATATGAGCATAAGCCATAACCGAAAGGGCAATCATGAAATGTCTTTATGTGGCGATTATCTGCACATAACCGACGCCAATGTGCAATTAACTGGCGAAAGGGGCGTATGCTTAATGCCACACCCAAACACACACACACAGAGACACCCACACAGATAGAGAAACATATATATATATATATATAATAAATACAGCAAATCAGAGCTTGTGTTGCTAATGGCAGCTTTGTATTAGGCTTAAGTCAAAAGCCGCTTTTATTTTTAGTTAGTGTTTATCTCTAATGTCGACACCTGCTCATAAAACTTAAATTTCCCAGCCACTAAGCACCAGCTCTACTCTGCCACCCTCTACCCACCCACCACCCCTCTCTCACCACTCCCAAGTGTAGTAAGAAAATAAACAGTCCCAAGTTGATTTCCCTAACGTAGCTGAATTTAATACAATTTGCCCACATTTCATGTTTCTGTCGACCATCTGAGCTTTTTCAATTTAATTTTGAAAATTATTTCATACATTCATATCCCGAGCTCATCAAATTGTATGGAAAAGTTAATAACATCAGGTCAAGTTTGTCTTTTACTATTTTTTTTTTCTACACAAGCCGGAAAGAATGGGGCGTGGTGCGGTGGGTGGCTGGTGCTTTGGACATCCTGTAGATGTAGATGATGTGTCCTGGCAGCTGGCAGCCGGCCAATATTTATCCAACTATCTGCGGCTATTCGGGGTTTTTGAGCTTCGGGCTTCAGACTTTCGACTCTTGACTCTCGACTTTGGACTTTGGGTTTGTTTGCCATTTTTTAAGCTGAACTGTAAATGAGATTTTGCCCATTTGCTTCGCGCTTGTCTTTCTCATTCATTTCTGCCCTTTGGCTTTCAAATAGCAATTTGACGCACAGCTTTAACCATCGCTTTGGCCATTGCCAACACAACACCCAATGCACCACCAACCAACACCACTGACGACTGCCACGAGCCACTGCACTAATAATCAACTCTCTGCCGGTAGCTGCAAGTGTTACAGTTCCACTAGATTCAATTAAGGAGTATTCCCTTACAGACAGCGCTAAAACCTCGAGCTGAAAGCGAAGCTCCTCAATTATATTCTAGAGCAGCGGAGGGCATAGAAAAATGTAGATATATTTAAAGTGTGGACAAAAAAAAAATAATAATAATAATTTTTTTAAATATATATATTACATGAATATGTATATAAATTATAAAGCATTTAAAAATTACTCTAAAATTCACAGAAAATTTAATCAATTTAAATTGTTCACTGTTAGATAAAATTAAATAATAAATTATATAAAAATCTAAAATAAATTAAAATGTATTTTTTTTGTTCATTTGTTGTTTTTATTTTTTAAAGAACTCAAGTTCATGTATATATTATATCAATATAGTAGATGATTATAAATTCTATATACATACTTAAAAATTATAAAACATTAAAAAATATTCTGAGGTTCATACAAAATTTACTCATCTAAATATTTCACTGTTAATCAAAATTAAATAATAAATTATATAAAAATCTGAATCAATTTAATTTAATATTTAAATATAGCAGATAAATAAAAATGTTATATATTTATATAAATTATGATATTCGTTGTTAGTTAAATTCAATCTCTAAATTAATATCAAATAATAAATTATATAAAAATCCAAGTCAATTAAAATGTATATGTTTTTTTAAAACGCTTAAGCTAACAAAACTTGTTTTTTTTTTTTTCTACTAAAAAATTTGACATCAAATTAAATAGCTTAAAGTGCAGATTGTTATAGATGTAAAGTGAAATTTTTTTGCACTGCCGAGTCGAACAGCTGCAGATTTTCACATGAAACTGTTTCTGCACGGCATTTTCTTCGCCTTTTCTCTCTCTTTAATGTGTTTAAATTGAAGCTTTCTGTGCGCTTCTCTGGCCAAGGATTTTTAATGATATTTAGCTCGTTGGCCACACACACATAGAAACACACACACACTCAGTGGCACTTCAGTGGCATTTGGTGTAACGAAGAAAATTGCAATTGACGCCGAGCACAATAAA